GTCGAGATCGGCAGGCATTCTTCTTGGCTAGTCTTCTTGCCGATGATGACGTTAAGTTTTACGGGGTTGATTATCCAGCGGTTATGCGTGACTTTCTTGATGTGTTTCCAGAGGACTTGACTGAGTTGCCTCCACACCGAGAGGTGGAATTTGCTATTGATTTGATGCCTGGTACCGCGCCAATCTCTATGGCACCGTATCGTATGGTACTGATTGAATTAGAAGAATTAAAGAAACAACTTGATGATTTGAGAGTGAAAGGCTTTATACGACCTAGTGTGTCACCGTGGGGTGCACCGGTCTTGTTCGCTAAGAAGAAAGATGGTTCTTTGAGGTTGTGCATTGATTACCGAAAGTTGAATCATGCCACCATCAAGAACAAGAATCATTTACCAATGATAGATGATTTATTTGATCAGTTGAGGGGAGCCAGTTGTTTTTCGAAGATTGACTTGAGGTCAGGCTATTATCAGTTACGGGTTAGAGAGGAGGATATTCCAAAGACCGTGTTCCGTACGCGGTATGGACATTACGAGTTTCTTGTTATACCTTTTGGTTTAACCAATGCGTCGGCGGCATTCATGGATTTAATGAACCGTGTTTTCCACGATTACTTGGATCAGTTTGTAGTAATTTTCGTGGATGATATTTTTGTGTATTCACGGACTCGGGAGGAGCACGAGGTTCATTTGGATATAGTGTTGCAGATTCTATGGGAGCACCGTTTGTACGCCATGTATGAAAAGTGTGAGTTTTGGCTACAAGAGGTGAAATTTTTGGGACGTGTTGTCTCGGAAGGTGGGGTTTCAGTTGATCCTTCAAAGATAGAGACAGTTTTGAGTTGGGAGCAACCCAAGAATGTCTTTGAGATCCGAAGTTTCCTTGGCCTAGCGGGTTATTATCGGAGATTTGTGAAGGATTTTTCCCGTTTGGCAGCTCCTATGACCAGATTGAGCCGGAAATGGATCAAGTTTGCATGGAATGAGGCCTGTGAGTCATCCTTTCAAGAGTTGAAAATAAAGTTGACTACAGCTCCAGTGTTGGTGATACCCGAGCGTTGCTTGGGTTATGTGATCTATTGTGATGCCTCACGTGATGGTTTGGGTTGTGTACTGATGTAAGATGATATAGTAATGGCTTATGGGTCGCGACAGTTAAAGACTCACGAGCTTAACTACCCTACTCATGACTTGGAGCTAGCGGCAGTCGTTTTTGCCTTGAAGTGTTGGAGACACTATTTATATGGTGAAAGATTTGAGGTGTTCTCGGACGACAAGAGTCTCAAGTACCTTTTCCCCCAAAAGGACTTGAACAACAGACAGAGGCGATGGGTTGAATTCTTAGAAGACTATAACTTTGATTTGCAGTATCATCCCGACAAGGCAAATGTGGTAGCTGATGCTTTAAGCCGGAAATCTCCTGGGACTTTGGCTAGTTTAGCCATTCGGAAATGGAAGATGCTGGAAGATTTGGCTGAAATGGGATTGTATTGCTTTGAGGATGATGATGGCAATGATTTAGCATTCTTATTTAGTCTCGTGGCTCAACCCACTCTTGTTAGACTGGTGATTGAGTCACAGAGACAGGATTCAGATTTGGATGCCATTTACACTTTGATCTCCAGTGGTGAGACCGTGAAGGATTGGACCTTACGTGCAGATGGAGGTCTACGGTTTAGGGGTTTGTTGGTTGTTCCTACAGTTTGTCGTGAGGACGTCTTACGGGAGTTTCATACTTCCCGCTTTGCAGTTCATCCGAGTGGTACCAAAATGTATCACAATCTGAGACGTCAGTATTGGTGGAATGGAATGAAGAAGGATGTTGCACAGTTTGTAGCTAAGTGCCTTACCTGTCAGCAGGTGAAGGCCGAGCACCAGAGACCAGCTGGTTTATTGCAGCCGTTGCCGGTAGCGCAGTGGAAATGGGAGGAGATTGCAATGGATTTTGTGACAGGTCTTCCTAGGTCATGGAGGGGAAATGAAGCCATATGGGTCATTATCGATAGATTGACTAAGACGGCTCACTTCTTGCCTATTAAGGCAACAGATGACGCAGAGGCATTTGGTGTACTTTATATGAAAGAGATTGTGAGATTGCATGGAGTTCCAGTGGCTATTGTGTCGGATAGGGATGCTAAGTTCACCTCGAAGTTCTGGGAAGGACTTCAAGCATCTTTTGGCTCAGCGTTGCACCTTAGTACGGCATTCCATCCACAAACGGACGGCCAGTCGGAACGTACCATCCAGATCTTGGAGGATATGCTTCGGGCCTGTGTACTTGACTTGGGTGGTAGTTGGGAGGATCACCTTCCACTTATTGAGTTTGCCTACAACAACAGTTATCAGGCGAGTATTCAGATGGGTCCATTTGAGGCGTTGTATGGTAGACCTTGTAGGTCACCTGTCTGTTGGACTGAGGTGGGTGAGACAGCAGCCTTAGGACCCGACATCGTACTCGAGACTACTGAGAAGATTAAACTGATCAGACAGAGATTGCTTACAGCTCAAAGCCGACAAAAAAGTTATGCAGATAGGCGAAGACGATCGCTATTCTTTGAGGTGGGAGACCACGTTTTTCTTCGGGTTTCTCCACGGAAAGGGTTGATGAGGTTCGTGAAGAGTGGCAAGTTGTCGCTACGATTTATTGGACATTTTGAGATCTTGGACCGTGTAGGAGAGGTTGCCTACAGACTAGCATTGCCACCGCAGATGGACAGGGTTCATAATGTTTTTCACATATCGATGCTACGAAAGTACGAGCCGGATCCGTCTCACATTTTGAGTTGGGTTGATGTGAACATTGATGAGGATGTTTCCTACGAGAATGGACCAATTCAGATCCTTGACACACAATAGAAGGTGTTGAGGAAAAAGACGATACCGTTGGTAAAGGTTCTTTGGAGGCATCATGGAGTTGAGGAGGCTACTTGGGAGCTCGAATAGGAGGTTCATTCCAAGTATCCAGAGTTGTTTTCTTCCTCAGGTATGGCTTGTTTCGGGAACGAAATCTTTTAAAGTTGGGGAGAATGTAATGTTGTGATATATATATATATATATATATATATATATATATATATATAATTAATGTTAAAAGAAATAAAGCAAGTGGGCCCCACCCATGTTATAAACACACATAAGGCCATAAGGCCATTACACGAGCCCACTTTTCTTTCTCTCTCTTGCTGCAACCAGACTGCTCTCGGCAGTTTCCATTTTTTTTTTTTTTTCTTTTTTTTTTTCTTTTTGCAACTTCAAACCTTGATTTTGCTTTTTCCTTTGGGAATTTGGTAGAACATTGTGAAGCAAAGTTGTTGAGCTCTTCGAGGCCGTTAATTTGATAGGAGCCAATCATCATTTGGTGCACTCTAGGGAGTTCAAAATTCTAGGGTTCTTGGGCTCAAATCGGGGGTTTTCATCAATTTGAGGTAGGGGTGTTCTAATCTACAATTTCTTGGCCTTTGGTGAATTTTTCCCCTTAAATTTGAACCTAAGCATGCTAAATTTTAATTACTTAGCTTGTTGTAGTTATAGTTCTGTGTAATTACAATGATAATTGTGTTCCATGTGTTATTTGAGTTTATATACATGTCTATTTTTATTATGGTAAATGAGCATACTTAGTGTTTGATGTGTTGTATGTTCCATGATTATTTATTTATTATCTTGAAGAAAAATGGGTGCTATGGTTCTAAATAAATAAAGGAAATGAATGTTTAGAAATTTTCATTAAATTGTGATGATGATGTAAATAGAAATGTGTAAAAACATATAGTTAAATTAATGATTAGAAGCATGAAACATTCATGCATCCATTGGGAAGGAGAAAGGGGGAAAAATATTTGTTAGAACAAATAAAATTGTTTTGGAGAAAATAATTTCTAAAAGTGTTGCGAAAACCGGACGCTTAGGAGGCGCCTAGTGGTCCGTGATGTTGGTGTAGTTTAGAAAGGAATGTAGTTGAGTTAACTAGGTTGGATGCGACGCCTTGGAGGTGTTTTGTGGTCGTGGATAGTTAACCAACCTTCCTTTCGTGACGCCATGGAGGTGCCTTGGGTCGGACTGCACTAACGGTTTGGTTGTTGAAACGGAATTGTTTCGGAAATGGGAAGTGACATTTGCATAACATTGCACTTCATGACATTGTGGTAAATTGGTGATTGGTTGATATTTGTTACATACTTGTTATTGTGGTTGAGAATGTGCGTTTTCCGATGGCATGATCCCGTTCACTTTTTATCTATTTATTGTATGGATTCACGGGAACATAAGAAGTGTGTCTTAGACACTTCTTACTGAGCTTATGCTCACCCCATTATTTTTAACATTTTTCAGGATATGGAAAAGAGGTGGCGGACGATGATCCACCACAAGTTTAGACGAGCTTGGGGATCTATTTCATTTTTGCTATCTTTTGTATTAGAACTTTGATATATATTTTGTAAATGTAATCTTAAATATTTTGAGAAACTTTAGTTTAGTTGATATAACGTTGTAAACTATAGACTTTAAAATTTTAGCTACAATTATGGACTGTAACTTGAAGTAACGGATATGTCCCTCGTTTGGATGAGATGGAGGAACGGGACTTTTGTATGTATGTAACCATTTTGGGAATGTAATATAATATCTGAATTGTGTGTTGGGACATGATAAGTTGGATTTAAGGCCCAGTGAGGCCATTGCATTTATTTTTTTGTATTTCTATAGGTTGGTGAGGGACATTTTCTGCGGAGGTCATACCGAAATTTTTATTATTATTTTAGTATCTTTTCGGGTCGTTACAAATATTTTGGTTAATCATTGGGATTTGTCTTTTAAGATGCCATGGCCTGTATGACACCATTTTTACAGTCTAGTCAACTAAATAATAAGCTAGTATGCATAAGGCCGGTCTATCCACGATATAGTGAGTCATGTTCTGTTGCCTATATTGCAGGTTTAAGTACTTCCATTTTGTTTCTATTCAGTGTATTTTTGTTTCTTTTAGTAAATGGTTGAAAACATAAATAACCAAGTATTTATATACACCTAGTATGTCGAAAAACATAAATAACCAAGTATATATCTCTATGTTAGAAAAACATAAATAAACTTGTTAATTTGTTGGAAGAAACTTGTTACCAGAAGTCCCTGCAAGTACAGGACCCATCTTTAAAATGATGAAATCTATTCACATCTCTAACAACAAAATCCCTCTCCACAATCTCACTGATCAGCTTGAAAGCCTCATGACAGTCCCTACACATTCTCAAGTTCTTCATCACTCTGATAGTCACTCCTTTAGGTATGCTTATCAACCCAAAACCCAATGCCAATCTCTCACTATGAAGACCCACTATTTCCTCCTTGGTTTCCTCGTCCACATCAAAAAACACCAAACCTGAACTCCCTCCCACATACCCCCTTTCCTTCATTCTCCTCTCCAATTCCCTCAACAAACTCACCACTTCACTACCCCGTGCACACGAAGACACATCCCCAGCATAGAATACATAAGTACAATCCTTTATCTCGAGCCAACTACAACCGGGTTCTTTAGAAACTCCATAACGCTTCATTTCAGACCGTATACTATGAACATTATCCCACCTCCCAGCCAATGCACAAGTGTTTGACATTGTAACATATGCAGCTGCTACTTGTTGGTTTGATTCTATAAGCCACTTACTGGCTTCAAAAGCAATATCTACCCTTCCATAAAGCCTGCTGGTGGAAAGAAGAGTCCCCCACAAGAGAGCCCCTTCATCCGGTTTGACTTGGATAGACTTCGCTATGTCATAAGCCTCATCAAGTCTGCCAGTTCGGCCTAGCATATCAACAACACATGTATAGTGCTTTGAGTCAGGTATTATCCCATGTCTATCAAACATGGACTTCAAGTGCTCAAGACCTTCATCAATGAGACCTGAATGGCTACAAGCATGTAAGACCCCCACAAAGGTGACATCGTTTGGAGTTACCCTTCTCTCGAGCATTTCCTGAAAGAGTTCAAGGGATAATTTGCCAAGTCCATACTTTGCAGCTCCCACAATCATTGAGGTATACGGAATTACAGAGGGACAGTGGATTCTTCGAAAAACCTTAGAAGAATATTCAATGCACCCACATTTTGCATACATATCAACAAGTGCACTCGCAACCACATCACTTGAATCATGCCCATGGCGAATCACAGCTCCATGTGTGACCTTCCCTGAAACTAGCCTGCCTAAACTAGCACACGCGTTTATGACACTAGCCAGCATGAAATGATTAGGATGATCTAAGGTCAACTGATTGAATTCTCTAAACAGTTGGAGAGCATTGTGGCCTTGTGCGTTCTGGGCATATGCAGTAATCATTGAAGTCCAAGAAACAACATTTCTATAGCCCATCAAGTCAAAAACCAGGCGTGCTTCATCAACATCATTGGATTTCCCATACATGTCAACGAGTGAAGAACCCACCACAAGGTTAGATTGAAAACCGAAAATCTCAACCTGGGCATGGACTTTTCTGCCAGTTGATAGGTCAGCGAGAATTGAACACGCATTGACGATAGTTGCAAATGTGAAAGCATTGGGCATGACCGTACTACTGGACATATTTCCAAAAATCCAAAGCGCCATTTTAGGCTGTCCAGTGTTAATATAACCAGCAATGAGAGAAGTCCATGACACAACATTGGGTTCGGACATTTCATCAAACAGTTGATGTGCAACACCAATTCTTTGCAGTTTTATGTAACCATTTATGAGATGATTAGTGGTAAAGGTATCATTTGAAAACCCTAGTTTTACTACATTGGTGTGCATAGAGGTTACAGAAACAGAATCAGTAGATTCTTGAAGAAGTTCAATGATTTGGGTTTTGGTATGAAAAAGTGACAGTCTGATTTGACGGGAAAGAGAGGAGGATGAGAGGGCAAAGATGAGATTTTGGTTTAACAGCTTCTTCATTTGACCCAAAAACTTTGGTGAGTGAAAGTAAGGGCATTTATTTATTTATTTTTTTTAACCCAAATGGGTGGCACAGTGGTAAAGGATTATGCGCATACCATAAACTCGCGAGTGATTGTAGTTATTTAAAAATTCAAAATTTACTTTGCAACCCTTGTTTGTATATTTGAAGTTTATTTTGCGACCCACGCACCAAAGGTTACTAGTTTAGTAAAGAATCTCTAATCTCTATAGTTGTATCCCATCCGCACACTATTGTTTTTTTGTTTTTATTCATTAGATATAATGGGTTAATTTAAGTATGTACCAACGCAGTGTAACATAATGACATTTTTTTATTTTTTAAAGTAGATGGTATGAAGGTTAAGTCTCGCAGGAACATGGGGTGTGCAAGTAAATTTTTTGTCATGGAAAAGAAGAAAAAATAAAAAAATAAATGTAGATCCTATCCACTACGTCACAAGAATAAAAACCATTGCATAAGTTTGAGTAAATTTAAAAATCATTTTTCTTATTTTTTTTTATTTACTTTTGCTGAATGGTCCATAATACTTTATATATCAGCTTATTTTACTAAAATATTTTTGTATTTGAGAGTATCGAATTGTAGTTTTCAATTTAAAATTATAAAGAAAAAATGTAGTTTTAAATTTAAATTAATTTTTTTCAAAATTTAAATTCAAATCACCAACTCGCAAATATAATTTAGGGAAATTTGCACTCACACCCTCTCAGATTTGTAATAAATATATATGTAGATATAATTTAGAGAGAGTGTGATCTAATTGCCCCCTCAAGTTTGCAAACTTGAACAACACCCTAACCATAATAAGAGTACGTAATTACCCTTAGACTTCTACCAAAAATGACCCTTGACCAAAAAAAAAAAAAAAAAAAAAAAAAACAATACACTTCCACCATTAGCCTCCCAATTTTTTTGCAAAACCTAATAGTATTAAATTAAAATTATTTATGGTAATGTTTTACACAAAAATTAAAGTTGATCCCCTCAAATTTTTTGTAACACTCTATTTATGGTACTGAATCATAGATACTAATAGCTGTTTTCTATATAAAAATTAAAGTTGATATCTCTAAAAATTTTTAAAAAAAATCTTTGTGGCTCCCTAATATTAAATATAGTTTAATAATGAAATTACTTTTAACCCCTTCAAATTCCAATAAACCCCTTGTTATAAAAGATCAAATTTAGTAAAAAAAATTTATTAATTATTATGGTAATCCTTATAACAACATATTATATTTACACACACATATATTCACACACATACATAAATATTATTAAATATTGTTGTTCAAGTTTGCTTACTTGAGGGGGTAATTAAATCACACTCTTTTTAAGTTGTATCTGCCTGACCTTATTGCGAATTTGAAGGAGTGTGAATGCAAATTACCCTATAATTTATTTTGAATAAATTCATGACAACTGGATATATACAAATGAGAGGGATGGTTGACCATGTTGTTGGGTTGTGGACTTTTTGAATAGTGGGGATTTTGGACCCCTCTCAGTCTCTCTCCTGCCTTTTCTTTTCAGTCCTTGGTGTCCGTCCATTAACCATTCTCAATGCAACTTTAACCTACAATTGAATTGTGACCTGAAAACTTTTTCCCATGCCTACATTGAACTTGGTTGTTTTGGAGGTAACTTGGATCCCTCTCTCTCTCCTACCTTCTTTTTCAGTCCTTGGTGTCCATTCTCAGTGCAACTTTAACCACTATTGAATTATGACCTGAAACTCCTGATAAGTTTCTCATGCCTACATTGGACTTGTTTGTTTTGTCTTTATTTTCATACCATTTTATGCCACCAACTTCCTTTGTCCCATGCCATTGTCCAAATTATTTAGTTATAATTTTATTTTCAAAGCAATGTCTCCTTCCTAGGACAATATTATATAATAATGTCCAATCAAATGTTTCACGGTAACTTGTTTCAACAAGTAAATATATATATATATATAAATTATCTAACAAGAAACTCACACAACTATTTTATCCCATGGAGGCTTGAATGCTCGAACACTAAGTTACGGCTTTTAGCTTCGATTCAAATTAGACAAAAAGCTACTTAATGCTAAAATTTTGGTTAGTTTAGTAAGTAACAACTAATTAGTAAGAAACTAAAGGTAAAAAAACTCTTAGAGAAGAGGAATTATGATGCTGCCATGAATCCCCAAGAGACTAGAGTGGCGGTGTTAAAGAGGGTTTGGAAAGTTTCTAAGAGTGGCCTGCCAAAGGGGTGTTCTCAGAAGCACTTTTTGAGCACCAGAGGTCAATTGCTTTTCTTAAAGTCTCAAGTTTGTCATAGATTTTTTATTTTTCATTTGTTACTTTTAATTTTATTGGTGCTTAAGAGCTCTTACTAAATGTGGAAAAGGGGAGGAGGACAAAGGGATGATGACAACACACTAGGTCTGGTCTGTAGAAATGGAGACATCTACTCGCAATTGAATATGGCCCCTACTACTACTAACACTACTTATGTGACAACCATAGTATGTACTAATACTAGTACCAGCCCCATTTGATTCCACTTTCTTTCTCAATTTCCCTTCCCCACTCAAGTTTTGCACAAATTCCATGCATATGATGAGATAGATACATACAAACACATATATATATACACACCCACACAAACACATATTGATATAGTAGTTATGAACATTAGTGTTAATTAGAAACAGAGACATCTACTTGCAATTGAATATGGACCCCTACTACTACCATTTTAGTTCTGTCACAAAGAGACACAACCATATTATGTACTAATACTATTACCCCCCATTTAATTCCACTTTCTTTCTCAATCTTCCTCCCCACTCAAGCTATGCACACATTCCAGGCATATGATGGGATACATACAAATATATATATATATATATATATATATATATATATATATATAAATCCACACAAACAAATCTTGATATAATTGTTATAAAAACCTAGTGTTAATTCTAAAAAAATATATTTACTACTTAAACACAGTATTTCACCAAGTTTTTGTGTAAAATTCTTAGAAGTTGGTGAGGTTTTGAGACATGGAAATTTTGGGGTTGCTTATGACTAGTTGGTCCTCCAAACATATAATTTTTGGCTCTGTCCCGGGATCATATTCCAAGAATATATGCGTTAGCACGACATACATATACCAAGTGCATGCCAAGCTGAAAATTAAATGTCGTTATTCGGTGTTCACAGGTGGCACAACCATAAGGCAATTAAGGTGGTCGCCTAAGGCTCCCAATAAGAGAAGAGGCCCATATTTCATTATACTAGTTATATCTTTCTTATTATATTAGTGATATTTTGCTTTTAATGGATTAATTATGCTTGGTGTATTGTATTAATTACCAAATAATTCGGTTCTTCTATTGGTAAATATATATATATATATATATATATATATTATTTATATTAGTTATTTATTTCTTTTAATGCATTAATTATGCTCTGTGTATTCTATTAATTACCAAATAAATACTTGGTCAATATAAGGTTGATTTATATTAGTTATATATATATTTTTAATGAATTAATTATGATTTGTGTATTCTACTAATTATCAAATAAATACAAATGTTATTCTATTGTTCAATACAAGTTTATTTTCTATTAGTTATACTTTTATTTTAATGAATTAATTACGGTAGGTGTATTGTATTAATTACCAAATAAATACAACTGCTGCTCTTCTATTGCTCAATACAAGTTTCTTTTGCCCTTCTATTAGTCAAATACAATTTTCTTTTATAGTAGTAATATAATTCTTTTAATGAATTACTTAAGCTTTCATGTGTTGTATTATTTACTAAATAAATACCCTCTTTTATGGGTCAATACATATTCCTTTTACTTTTATCATATAATTGCTTCATTTTTTCTCTAAACAAATTCACAAATTTTGGATATCTTCTAATTTTTAAATTCTCTTATATATGTGTTCAAAATTTTGTACTTGGTAATTTATTGGCTGTTGGGCTGAATTTTATGTGAGTGCATTATCAGGCCCCCACACACATTGAAGACACGCATTAATGTGCATGATGACTTCACACTGATTTTTCTTCCCTCTATAAATACAGTCCCATGTCCAAAGGCAGAGCAACCAAGCAGAGTTCCTCAACATTCTGTTAATCACTTACCTCTAAATTCTGTTTCCATGGCTCCAGCACCCCTTTCTCCTATCAAAGTTGGTCAAATCGACGATGTCCAAGAATTGAGGAAGGCCAAATCAGTGGCCATTCCTCAAAGATTCGTGCGCGATATGGCTGAAAGGCCAACACTCACTGCAGCCTCTTCTTCTAGCAACATTCCGGTTATCGACGTCTCAAAGCTTATCAAAGGCAGCAAAGACGAGTTCCATAGTGAAATCTTGAAGCTCTCCACTTCCTGCAAGGAGTGGGGTTTTTTTCAGGTATGTGTACATACAAATATGTCCATTTTATTAAGTTAGTTTCTGAACTATGGGCTTGGAAACTAATGTTTAAGTTAACATGGTAGGTGATTAATCATGGGATTGATCTGGTTTTGCTGGAGAGCATTGAGAAGGTGGCTATGGAGTTCTTCATGCTACCTCTAGAGGAGAAAAAGAAGTATCCAATGTTACCGGGGACTGTTCAGGGGTACGGTCAGGCTTTCGTGTTCTCGGAGGAGCAGAAGCTAGACTGGTGCAACATGTTTGCACTTGGAGTTGAGCCTCACTTCATTAGGGACCCAAAGCTGTGGCCAACAAAGCCAGTCAAGTTCAGGTAATATCTCTAGGTCCACACTCCACCATACTAAAAAAATGGTTCCCATATGTCACAAACTTTATTTTATTTTAATATTTTTTTGGTTTCTCATTGCAGTGACACCATAGAGGAATACTCAAGTGAGATAAGAAAACTAGGCCAAAAGTTGCTAAAATTTATAGCTACAAGCCTTGGCTTAAAACAGGACATGTTTGAAGAGATGTTTGGGGAGGCAGTGCAAGCAGTGAGGATGAACTACTACCCACCATGCCCTAGACCTGACCTTGTTTTAGGTCTAAGCCCCCATTCTGATGGAAGTGCCCTCACAGTGTTGCAGCAAGGGAAGGGTAACACAGTAGGCCTTCAAATACTTAAAGACAACGGATGGGTGTCCATTCAGCCCATCCCTAATGCACTTGTCATCAACATTGGAGACACCATTGAAGTAAGTTAAAACCTCTAAATTCCTCAACAATTCTTTTATGATAGGCATTATGAATTTTTCTTATTTTTTTATTTTTTTATATAACAGGTTTTGACAAACGGGCGCTACAAGAGTGTGGAACATAGAGCAGTGACTCACATGGAAAAAGACAGACTCTCAATTGTGACATTCTACGCTCCCAGCTACGAAGTTGAGATTGGACCAATGCCGGAAATGGTAGATCAGAACAATCCTTGCAAGTACAGAAGATACAACCATGGAGAGTACAGCAAGCACTACGTGACTAACAAGCTGCAAGGCAAGAAAACATTGGAATTTGCCAAGATTCAAACTTCATAAAAAAGGATATAACAAAATGTTACTATTAAAGCTCTAGCTTAGGTCATGGATGTAGAATAAAGCAAACACAAGTAGTGGACAGGGTTGTTTATTATTAAATATTTAGAGAGGTGGATTATTGATGGACAGTAGTGTTTGTGTAGTTCAATTTGTACAAGTCTCTATTAAATTAATGGAAGGTTGTGGGGTCTTATGTTCATAAACTTTTGCTGTTGAATGTGTGTGTGCTTGCGAGAACTTTGTTTAAAAACAATAGCTGTCTAAACTAAACATCATATAGAAGAAGATGTCACTTTTACTGTTCTCTCTCTCTCATAATCTCAACAACAAAAGAAGCATGCAGTGATGTGGAGAATCCCAACACCATTACCACACTACGTTTCTCACAAAATCATTCACAACGCGGACAAAATCATCGGTTTTCCATTGTTTAAGAGGGGGGAGAGCTTTTTTCTCAGTGGACGGCGAAAGGAGAGCCCACAAATTGTATGCATATTATTTCTAAGTTGCTCATATTATTGGCGTGAGTGTGAGAGAAGCACTAGCCAAGCAAGTAGTGATGTGTTTTTGATGATTCCAAGTTGAAAGGACAAGTGAGTGCCAAAACAAAGAGCACCAAACACAAATCAAAGGTATGAGTCCAGAGTCCTGATGTCATAGAGAAAATAATTAGCTGGTTTATAATGATTGACAGAGGACTACTACTATTAGTTTCACTAGGAAATAAAAATAATGTGTTAAAGTCGACGAAGTCAAAGATCTAACAGAAAAGGGAATGGTGAGGCAGTTAGTTAAGTGGAAATATTCCAGCAAAGATGACATATTTGAGAAGAAAATTTGATGATCTTAGAATGATTACTCCACCCACATCAATTCCCCAGTACATGGGAACAAGAACAAGGTACTGATATTCATATTCCCCAGGGAAAGAGAGAAAAATGTAATATATATATATAAATACATATCCTAATTTTACTATTCTTCAATACTCACTGAATTAACAATCAAGAATTAGGCTTGAAGGTTTTTAGATGTTCATGTTCACAGAGATAAACAACCGGTCAATCCGGTTTATAAAAGAAAGATTGTATTGTGAAGCAGAATCATTCCACAAACTATGCAACAATGATGATGAAAGAAGAAGTGATCAGAAGTGAATCATTTCAATGCTATAACAAATGGGATTCATTTCATATACTGTATCAAACATAATATTGGTAGTGTTTTGATTTGTTCCAATCAGTACTCAAATATGTGAATTCCTTTTGATATTTTGTGGACACCATGTTTGATTCTCATAAAGAATGGTAAGAAGAAGAGAAAAATGCTGAATCATTTTATTCCCACTCAGAAGAAAATTGGTTTTAAGGTCTAGAAATTAAGCTCGGATTTCTAGTGTTTAAAGCAAACTTAGCTTGTGAATCTGTTGATGGATTCTCTAAAAATGGTCCTAAGTGATAAAAACTATCTTCTTTGTATTGAATGTTAACCAGCTACTTTCTTCAAAATATGCTAGTCACCTGCTTCTATTCATGGAGTAACTTTAAATCCTGGGACACACCCCCTTCATGTATTGTCTTTTTTCTGTCCAACACGTGTTTAGGTTTAGGGGTGAGTCGGGTGACCATGGATTGGATAGGTGTATATGTTAAACCTAAACCAATTCGATCCCTACGGATGGATGAAAATTAAAACCAATCTGATCCGTGGGAAGCTCTAATCCGAACTGATCCAATTCGTAAAATATCATACTGGTTCTACAAATTGGATTTTTCTAAACATTATAGTGATTTTTTTTTTTATTGACCATGGGCCAATAGATGACTTATCAATGAGACAATGAGTACATATTTTTGAAAGTAACAAAGGAATATGCAACAAATGATCATCATTATTAACTCATTCAGCAACATGCAATAGCCACCAAAACAGTAGCCACTCAACATCATAACCAATTTAAAATAAAAGCCTCAGTAGCCAAAACAGCCCCAGTTACTACTTGGAATGATCATTAACACATTCGACAATATATTACATTATTAACAGGTCAGACTCGATTTTTGAGACCCTAGCGTGAACCAAACTGATTCCTAGTTTATGAATCTGCAACCGAACCGATGGGTTAAAAAACCAATTTGGATAAGATTGGAACGGATCAAATGAAAGAATGTGAAGTGTGGGTTCCACAAACACAAGGGGCCTGAAGCCATGTATAAGGAAGTGAGGAACAAAACAAACACAGTAGCAGTATTGACTCTTGGACTCTGTTACAACCCACCAAAGTGATGTAAAACCCAACCATGCCTCATTGCTCACGCTTGCTTGCTTGTTCTTATAAAATTCGATCAATTACCATTACATTTAGCAATTGAGTGTGGTCACACTTAAAACTTGCTTTTGTAAGAACTTTTCTGCATTTGAGGATTGTGATATCAGCAGGTGGGTCCCAAAGTAAACAGGTTTTTGACTTTATTAGTGGTAAATTGCAAAGACTCTGGTTTAAGAAACGTGTGGAGTTTTTGTGGAATAACTGGTGTTATTTGTTTCAGGGTTAGAGAGCCGTTGTTTTTGGTTCATTAACTAGTAAATTAATTAATTAATTATGTGGCACCAATTTTGCACTTTGGGTGCTTAACGCAAATTCATTGAATCTTCCTTTCAACCCTTCCTTTTCACATATATGACACAAGTCACAAATCCCCACTAACCACCATGCTCAAAGCACATTGGATTCTTGCCCGGTTGCGTCACGTTTTGAAAATATCACTTAATTTAGTTCGAAAAAATTTAGGTTGACTAAACGATAGAGTTAAAAGATGATCGATAGAGTTAAATTAATTAATTAATTATGTGGCACCAATTTTGCACTTTGGGTGCTTAACGCAAATTCATTGAATCTTTCTTTCAACCCTTCCTTTTCACATATAGACACAAGCCACAAATCCCCACTAACCACTATGCTCAAATCACATTGTATTCTTGCCCGGTTGCGTCACGTTTTGAAAATATCACTTAATTTAGTTCGAAGAAATCTAGGTTGACTAAACGATAGAGTTAAAAGATGATCGATAGAAGTTTCATTAGAGTTCATATAATGTCGTTCTCTCAGTATTCATGCATTTTCATTCTATGTTATGGGAACTCTAATGATGTTTTTGGAGAGACTTGAACCCTTTATCTTTTACTTTTCAATTAGAGAGATTTGAACCCTTTATCTTTTATTTTGAAAAAAGAGAGATGCTATCAAGCCACAAACTTGGACAGATCTAAAAATAAATAAAAAATTACTTATGACGACGAATTCACAAGAATCTGATAATAAAATAAATTAATAGACAAAGTTCAATAGTGCAAAGAAATATTTACACCTTTATGTTTAAATATGGCCCTAAAAGAAACTAGACAAGAATTTCAAATTCTGTTTCTAGATTCCGCTTTGATTTGAAACTTGATAACATATTGAATCCAAACACAATATTATGCTATGTTTAGTGGCATCAAATCACCACATTAGATATGAGATTGAAAAAATATTAAACTAAACTTCTTCCGATCCTAAACCTAAAACACACCAATTTGACACTCACAAACATAAGTACACTAGAAACTTGGTAACAAAATGGATGAATTTGAATTTGAATTTCATCTAAATTATTTGAACCATTTCTATATTCTGTAGCTTTTTGGAAAAATATTAATTTAACACGGTATTAAAGCTTTTGTCTAAGAGGTATTGGATCAAGTCTTCACATTACCTTTTGTTCTATGTTTGGCTCGGTGCACTATATTTAGATTAAACCTTTGGGGCAAATCGTACCTTACAGGAAGATCATTCTGATTCGTTAACGTTCATCGGAGCATGTAACTCTTCTATATTAGTTGCTTTATTGGGCCATCGGGTCATGTTTGTAAGGTTATCTAAACTGTTTTGGCCCAATGGGCCTTGTAATATTCAGCTAAAGCTGAAGCCCACTTTTAATTACTTTATATTTATATCTATAGCTTAACATTCTCTAGAAAAAAAAAAAAAAAAAAAAAAAAAAAAACACCATTGAACTCTTGCAGAGATACAAGTAGAAGATAATGCTCAAAACATGACATAAAATCAGAAGCTACAAGATCTATGTTATTATAAAATTCATGATCTATAAAATACATTTTGATGCCGAAGAAGAGAGCATTATTTCATGTCAAATTTCTAAATAGATATTACTCAACACAACCACGTGGAATCAGTGCATCACCAAATGAAATCTCTATGTATAAAAAAAAGGAGCATGTACAATAATGCATGTAAAACTCAAGAAATGATGAAGGAAATGTAAAATTAAGATCAGTTCTCTCCCCCATACAAGCAAAAATGAGAGGGAAAAGAAAAGAGAATATATCAATAGAAGTGTTCAGGAAAAAAAAAAAAAAAAAACATTTTTTTTCCCCTTTTTTACAATGGTAACATGCTACAAGGGCATAGAAGCTTTGGCACATATGTAACAATACATTTTGATGCCAAGTTATGGAGATTTGTGTAGTTACGCAACTCTCTATATAATCACACTGGGGTGCACATTCATCACTGAGAAAATGTAACCAGCACTGAAGAAGAAGAGAGCATTATTTCGTGTCAAAATTCTACGGAGATATCACTCAACACAACCACGTTAAATCGATGCATCACCACATGAAATCTCTAGACTGACAAATGCTAAAATAAAATATTAGCGCATACAAAAAATGCATGTAAAACTCAAGAAATGATGAAGAACATGTGAAATTAACATCACAAACAAGCAAAAACAAGAGGGAAAAGCAAATAAAATATATCAATTTCATGCTAATTCAAAACGTGTTTAAAGATCTCCCGTACAAGCATGAGAATGATAAACATTTCACAACACTTGCTCACTAAATAAGCCATCATGATAAAGAAAGGAGATAAATATTAATTCCATAAAATATCCCAGAAACATATAAAAACAAAGCAATTCAGGGGGGAAAATACATTTTTTCTTTTTCTTTTTTACAATGGTACATGCTATAATCTGAATTAACTAAAATACAAGTGTCAACAGTCATGCAAGAGGATGGCAGTAATAAGATGGTAAAAAGCTGGATGGTCTCATTGTATACTGGAAAGCATAACTAAATCAAATTACATATTTTTCTCACACAAACAATCTGTAGAAATTATCCTCACCTGGCTTCAAGAGGGAAATGTACAAGAATACTTGAGCTCTCAGGTCTACGTAATCATCAAAAGAGGCAGTCAAAGAGCGGAAGCATTTACAAGAGTTTGTGCTGAACCCATTCGGCAGATTGATATATCATCTTTTGGAGCTATTTGCAGCTGCAATAGAGTCACGAATTCCTTTGGACGGACAATCAACAGCCAAATCATGCCAAGTACCTGAACAAGTTCGGGTTGTCCTTGTCTCTTTCTAGATAGTCCCGAGTGATTAGATCTTCAAGCCTCTTCTTGATTGCTTTAATGTCGGGCTACATAATTGCATTTTAATTAACACCATTAAGTAAAAACTGAGGAATCAAGTGGGCTGAGGATAGAAATGGAGAAAAGTGCTTCAATATACCTTGAACATGCGACCCAACTGCTCAACGCACTCCATGACCAACTGCTGATAGCCCAAAACTTTGCGACTCTTCATGATACGAACAATTGCAGCATCAATGGCATACCGTCTGTCTTTGTCAACATCTTCAATCACCTTTTTCTTCTCATCAACAGGAGGGAGGGGAATCTGCAGTACAAAGCCATTTTTCGTCCCTCATAAAATCAATAAATGGAAAGGTAATAAAAAGCAATATTGAGATTGAACTTGAATCTTAATACCTTGATCCTCCGCATCTTGTCAGTGAACTTGGAGTTGAACTCAAAGATGTCAGTAGGAGAGATTGTCTTGGTGTTTGGTTCTTTTTTAAGGATCTTATACTTGGCGCATGACAGAGAATGAAGAAGTCTAATAACATCATCGTCGGTTAAGTTTAACTGAGTCATGATTTCCTGATAACTTAATCTATCTGCGGCATTAAATAACAGCAGCGCAGAAGCCTATAGAGAAGAATTGCTAAAACTCAAGCCTCTGTAATGATAATCACGAAAACATACAAAAACTAAAATAAATGTTATATACAAAAACCTGGTAGGTTGTCACAATCAGCTCTATCGTTTTTGGTTCAAATTTTCCATTGATGTTACAAGTACCCAATGAGTATATCCATGTGATTTTTCTGTGTTTTGTTTTTGTGTGATAGAATTCTCTGAAAACTTCGACACACCTAACCTAAAACAGCAATCATTAGATAGAGAATATGGTTAAGCTTTCTCAAACATTAGACTCAACATTCCACAAGTTCACATTAGTATGAGGAATTTACATTTTAGTGGTTAGAAGAGTACCATCTCCGCTGGAAGGTTCAGATCGAAAGACTTGTAACTTGGCCAAAAACCGGTAGTTAAGACAGTAACAGTCAAGTCAATCCCAGGATTTGTATTTGGATTATTGCCGAGATACTCCTCAAAATTGGCTTGATTTTCCCTAGCCAATGTCAGATCTGTGACCTAAAAGATAGGAAAGCAAGAAAAAGAAATTTCATCAGTAACCCAGATGTACCATAAAAAAAAAAAAGATTTCTCATTGCTCAAGAATCTAGGACAGTCTTTTGCCGGATACCATTCCCTCCATCTTCGAAGTGAACTGACCACCGCATTGTTGTTTCAGCTTTGTCAAAATACTTCTCTCATGCTCATCATTTGCACTCTTATCAAAAAGTAGCCGCCGAGCAAGTTTTTTCCTGCCGGCAATGGCAACATCAAGTAATTATAGCCAACTAACGATTCCAGATTGACCAACCAAAAAATTAGATAGTTTACCTATAGAATTCACCGAATAGGTCCTTATCGCTAATGTAAGCAAGCAGCTTCACTACCTGTAGATTATATGCAAGTTCCATTTAAATTTCTACATCCTGCAAATATGTCAAACAGAATACTACAAAGAGTGAGTAACATACCTTCTCGAGTGTTTCCTCGATGGCTTCATCACTCAATTTTTCACTGCCACCTTTCTTAAGAATATTATCACAAAATGTGGCCAGTAGTTCTGCACTTGAGCTTCCAGAAACACCCTTGTTACAAAAGACTTCAAAAGCCTCCTTGAGTGCCTAGCGGGGGAAAAAAAAAAGGAAAAAAATAAAATAAAAAAGAGAGATAATATGGGAAATATAGCATGGAGGTAACTATCATGTAGCAATTCTATAGTACAAACCTTGTGAAAAAGGGTATGATTCATAAAACAGTCATTTACATATGCCAGATACTTGTCATGCAGCTCAATCACTTTTCTAACAAAAACCTGAAGGTTCTAAGCCATTAGTTCCAACATATAAATGCTTCTGAGAGTACAGTGGTACTAAAATTACCTGTTCCTGCAAACCGACCACATCTTTCTTATCTGGCTGTAGAATAAGCAAATTGTTAGCAATACAACCAAAGATAAAAGTTGAATAAATTTCTACTAACACAATGTCTTTATGTATATCTTCTGACAGAAGAAAATTTAAGTGAACATAATTTTGGTAAGAATAATAAAAATAAATAAATAAAAATAAAAAGAAGAAGAAGAAGAAGAAGAAGAAGAAGAAGAAGAAGAAGAAGAAGAACAACAACAACAACAACAACAAAAAATTCAAAAAAGGTAAATGCCGGTTCACAAAGAGGAGAAGCAACTAACAATTCAGAGGGAATAATTAGATGTGAGTTCACTAAGATGGACATTACATAAACTCAAAAGAAGGCGGTATCCCAAACACTTCTATAGAGAACTTTTCCACCTAAGAGATCTTCACAAACATACGAAACTGGGAATGTCCAGACTCTGCACATTTTAAATTGAATGCATGAAAGAGGAATTAAGAAGGGACAACTATTTATAATTTCATATGATGCTGAATGATATACTTAGCAGATAAAGCTCCAATTGGATTGGATCTCCAAAAATGGAGAACAAAAAAGGTTTGATATAGTCTTACCTTTTTGCTTCAATGATTTAAATAAAATAACAATAATAGTAAATAAGCATTATGAAATATGCTTCAAGAAAGTTTCAAAATTAAGACTTCTACACGGTAACACGGATAACATATTCTTTCCACAAGTCATCCCTATCTTAGCTTCTTAAATAACCACATTTGTCTCATTTGAACCCTGAAATAGTTTTATCTCACTGGTTTCAGAAGTTATTCAACATTCATGATTTGGTATCAGCTAACACAGATCAGCTAATTTTTTGCAATATTCATGGGTAAGCTCTTCAATAAGGAGGAAACACGCTCTGCTTGTGGAACATACCTTGCATTTTCTCTTATTTGCATTCATTTTTCCCCACTATCTATTACAACTATGTTACCTATTGAAATCCTCTCACATTGCCAAGTTACAACACGTTAGGCAGACTTACAAAACCAAACCAATCGGACCAAAAGAGTGTTCCCTTAAAATAAAGGTACAAGATTTCAGGCTACACCACAAAATTATCACACATGGGTTAACTGCAATTCAACTTGGGGCTTCCAAACCAACCCAAAAGATAATCAGAGTTAGGGATTGTCAACTCTTAGTCGTTAGGTGTACTAATTAAGGTTATAATTATATAATATGCATAACAGTTTTAATGGTAAAATTAATACAGCTTAGATGCAGTTGCAAAGGAAAGAGAGACATGACTCATGGGTAAATGAACAATCAATAGCATCTGATATAACCACAAATAAAGAGAGAATTTGTCAAAAAATTCAAAAGAAGAACAAAATGGACAATCAATAGCACCTGATATAACCGCAAATAAAGAGAGAATTTGTCAACGAACTCAAAAGGACATTTTTTGGGGAAAAATTAGATAACATTTTTTGTAGTCAGAACAAAATAATATTTTTGAATTTACAAAATGTTTTTGAGAAAGGCCAAGAATAACAAATGACAATTCACATGGAAATCATTAGACAAGACAGAAAAGAAAGAGAATACTTAAATTGTCAGCGCAATGTCCTAAAGCCAAACTGGTGGAAACCTTGCAAGTTAATGACTCAGAAAACCATCTAGTTCTACTTTCTTAGTCCCCAAAATTGAACATAGTATATTGAATAACATTATATAAATTTATCAAAAAATTGAAATGACAAAAATATATTGAAATTATGAACACGAGAATTGTCACCTATACATTTGTAATTAAGACTACACATCTCAAACCCAAATAAAAGCTCCAACTTCCAGACTGCAACTATGTAATAGAAAACCCTAGTTTCCTCGGAAGTCATGTGAAAAACCAAATTAGAATATAGTCAAGGATTTAATGTAAGAATTGTTGTCACCTAGCCATCAAATTGAAATCTAACAAACCTTTTATCTAGTATTAAGACCAACAGAACTAGTTTGAAGCCAAAATTCCAGCAAAATTTTAATTAAATTTCTATGATTAACAGCACGCCAGCACAGCAGATGAAAGGTTGTTATAATGGAACATTATAAATGCTTACAGATAAACAATTACCAGATAAACAATAATATGCAACACACTCACGGATATGTTATATATGACATGCAAATTATTTGACCACCTCAAGTAGCACGCCTAGGCAATTTTAACAAGATTCACCAAGACTTTTTGACATGTATGCTACATAGCATTCCAGGCCTTTCATATCAGCCAGATATGTGTCAACCCTAATATAAATTACATGTGTTTAATTCTCGTTTATGTTGTTATGAAAACCTATAATGACAATTGATATAAGTATATAACCAAACATAAGAGACATTATATTAAAACAAAACATAACACAAGGGATCTAGATCGAATTTCAAATGAACAGTTATCTTACAATAACAAAACGAAGAGAAATATAAGGAAGACTAAAAGAAAAATCATATCTTTATATATATATATATATATATATATATTGTTTCTCTCTGCCAGTCTTGAAACCTTGACCTATGACTTGGAAGTTAAGACCCAAAGCCACCAAGATAGAGGTAGACCGGTAATCATATATTCTTTTCATTAAAGAAAATAGATCCCTGTATTGATCATTTGGCGCAGGAAAACAAAAAGCAACAAGTATTTGACCAACATAAAGAGGAATGTATTGTTGAAAATTCGCAGGCTATATGTGCACAAAGAAACTTATAGATGACGGATTGATTAACATTTTAATTGTAAAACAACAATAATGGAGAAGTAACATGAGACTATACTTACCTCAAAATTTGCTAGATATGGAAACAATGCTTCGAATGAAAAAAAACTAAATTAAAAACACATTAAAAAAAATAGATATATTAACCTTTACGCCCTACTTTTTATGAGACTTTGGCTAGTGAAGAGAATGCTAGGATTACAATGAGTGACACAACCAATTCAGAAAATCATATTTACTTCTTTTTTTATTTTTATTTATATATATATATATATATATATAAATCAGCAAATCATATTTACTTTAAAGATTCAAATGTGGTGCAGAATTTCTACATAGTCATTCAAATGAATTTAATTCCATTTTTTTTTTTTGGTTACTGTTAAATTCCAGCTTATTTTATTCTTTTTGCAAAAAATAGCAGATAAGATGTTCTAATGACAGGTCTATTATCAGCCATATGACATGTACCTTCCAAGGAGACAAATTGCACAAAGACCAAGGAAATGATGGAATCTGATATAAAACAATCAAGATACAGACCTTCTTAGTGCTTGCTGCATCTTCTGCTTGTTTAACCAAGGCTGTACCTTCGGCAGTAACATGCTGCATTAAAGAAACCAGAAAATACTTTAAACTAAAGAAGAGGAAGAAACAAATTACAACAAAGGGATGTCATACTATAAGTTCTTTTTCATTTTTCAGCAAAACAAACTGTAATATATAAACTAATAAACCTGCTTAAATATATTTGAAACAGGATCTAAGCCTCGAGGTACTTTAGAAAAGAGCCTATACATCCTCGACAAATCCTCCACCTGAAAAAAATAGACAAAATCATTAATGAACTTAATAAGTTGCAATTAAACTACACAGCAAAGGGCTTGCATAATACAGCATCCAACGAAGTACCTTGTCATCTCTAAGCAATGCATGACATCCAGAGTGCTCCTTCTCGAGCAACTGGGTTGCATATAAGGACAACAACTCATTTTGAACTTTCTGTAGAAAAAAACAAATGACTCAGATACTAATATTGATTTTAACATAATAAAGGTAACCATGGAAGGCACTAATCAAAAGTGAGTGTCTGACTGTCAAGTAGTTCAAATGACATCCTCCATTCTTCAGATTAACTAACCAAAAATAAAGGCAGATTTCTGTTATTGTGATATTATGAGAACCAAGAACAAACCTCCAGCAACTTTTGCTCACTACTAGAATGTAGATAATGAGAAACCCTATCCTTCTCTCGCTTCAAACATTCCTCGGCCTGGAATTCCAAGAAGATCCCATAAATCATCTAAATGATCAAACAAATGTTTTCTAGAGCTAATTAAAAAAAAAATGTAGATGTTTACTTTCAACATATAATCTGGACAAGAATCTTCTAAGATCCAATTTGAAGCCTTCCGAGAATAGTAAGCAGCAGTATCTTCGAGCATAGCTGATTCAAAGTCGTTGTCATAGTAATCCATTTGCCCCATTCCGATCTCCACAAATATATCTAAAACATTCTTCAATAAAGCCCGGTCAATCTGCTCTCCTTCACGCTCTTTATCAATCTGGTTAAAATGTATTGTTGATTAACATGAATAAGAAATGTGGAAAGAAGAAAGCTGCAGCAATGGAACAAACATACCAGTGCTATTACAGCATCTCTTACTTTCCCATTTAACTCCTGGTAGACCTGATATCCGAATATTAGTTCCAATATTATTTCAGTGCGTCATATTTTACTATTTTAGAACATATGGCACAACAAAAAGGAAAAAAATAGAGTATATAAGCTTGAGGCTGTAGTAAATTTTTCTATCTTCAAAAGGCAATAATGAAAACTTCCCCATATATGTAAGTATTGAAAACAAGATGGCAAGAAAACGGAATGGAACAATCAAGACATACTAAGTGACGAAAGCAAGTGAGTCCAACTTCATTGAGCGCTGGAAGTGACCTTCGAGCAATATAGTAGCGATCAAGATAATGGAAGAAACGAGAAAGCCACCTGACCATAACTTTGTGATTCGACCACCTTTTCACAAGCTCTCTCAACATGAACTCATCATGTTTCTCTCTTAAAGAAGGCAATACCTATATTACAAAACAAACAAAGAATTATCTCCAAGCTTTAAATGATAAAAAAAAAAAAAGAAGAAAAAAAGAAGAAGAAGAAGTATATTGCAAAAGTGAGAATAAAAGAATTCTAAATTAATCCATCAAAGTTAAGCTGGATATGGCATATGACAGGGTCGCATATTGTAGACATCTTGTAATTTGTTTACCTATGGCAGCTTTTTTAATGCATCATAATGACTAATGGTACACACTTGTAGATAAAACTTAACAAAGAAACATGGATTTTTAATGTAATAATTGTTGGGAGTCCTAAGGCTTTGTTTGGGTAGCTCCTGTTGTGTTTTCCTTTTAATGGAAATATATGTTAGGTCCAGAAATTTATTCTCTCTCAGTGTGGTCAACAGTTGTTTTTGATTCATCTCAATGGCATTTCAGCAACAAATACTTCCTTCTTGTTTCGTGGGAGTTATGTACGTCACAAGCTGAGAGGGTATCTCTTTCTTTTCTCTCTTTATCAGTTGCTAGAGGGCAGTGTTGTAATTTCCTTTCAAATGGGATTATTCAAAGGCATATATCCCAACGGTTCTTTTAACCGTTTGTTTCAAATAGGCCACATGTATATGCTTATATCTTTCTCTGTAACGGATAGTTTTTTGAGGAATTATCTCTTTGAAATATTTATTTATTTATTTATTTTTTTGATAAGTAAGATTTTATTAAAAACGCTCAAAAGAGGAGCGGAACCCAAAGAAACAAAAGGGCCAAAGGGCACTTTAGACCTTCAAAGAGGCCAAAAAAACAATAATCTCCTCCGTAAATCTATAATCTCTCCCCGAGACCCAACAAAAAAGAGTGGAAATAATAGAGAACTTAAGCATAGAAATAGAAATTATCTCTTTGAAATATGAGCTAACAAATCTAGAATCTCATGCAAGTTTTTCAGTAACTTGATAAATAAATAAAAAGGCAAAAAGAGAGAAAAAGGCTATGGGTTGTTGCTGCTATTATTGCGAAGAATTCACTCTGTTAATTTGAAGAATTAGCACTTGAGATAAAAAAATTCAGCACGAGATAAAAGGAAGTTTCCCGGTGATCAAACTCCTTACATCAAGAAAACGATTTGCCAAGTATTAAGTGCTAGATGCTCATGAACGTAAAATTCTGACTCAGCCAAAGAGCCTCAGCATTACAAACCAAAATAGAGACTCTGATTCAAGATTGACTTTATTCTATATTGAGTCTCATCTACATGTCTTGTATAATTGCGTGGTCAAGCACTGCTCCATAGCTCTATAATTGTTTATCTCACTGTATTTGTATCCTAGAACAGAGCTGATGCTCAATTTAGGTGTGAAAAGCTTCATGGTCTAGAAGTGGGTTTTTGGTTAGCAATGTGACTGAATATTGGTTGAGTGAGCAGTGAGTGTATTCTGGGAATCACTTGTAATCTGATTGATAATTAGTGGATTGGTTTCAGAGCTTAATAGCTCCGTCAGTCTCCGTGGATGTTTCCCCATTTTGGGGTCTTACCACGTAAAAACTGTGTGTTCAGGTGTCTTTCTAGCTTTTGATAATTTGTTTTAGGAAATTTTGAAACCACTCCCCCCCTTGATTACTACAATAATCCAAAAATGTTGAATCATGTTAGCTACTTAGATAAGGGTTAATTTTTTGTAGATCTAGATTGCTACTTCTTTATTTTTGAATATTCTAATAGATATTTTATATTTCAATTAATATTCTTAGATTTAGGATGTTTGAGTTTAGTTTATTTCGTGTCCATTTTGTTTATCATATAATTTCTAAATTTTCATCTTCCTTTTTGGACTTTTTGAGCATTGTATAGAATATCATTCTGGCACGTTGTAACTGACAACTTTGAGGCCGTCAAATCAACAACCGATAACACAACTTTGAACCATGATACCGACAACATTCTGACTTAAAAAAAAAGAAAAAAAAGAGTGTAGATCATAACCATATCCCGTCGTTTGTCTTGCATAGGACAAAATGACTAAATTTGTCCCCAATCTGAACACTATACACACACTACAAATACATAACTTTCACATTGTTACAAATATAAATAATAAGCAAGCAGCCTTAGACATTCCATTATAGACAATGTATTTAAAGAACATATAGTGTGTGCCTATTCATAAGAACATATATCGATAAGATGGATTAGTCTTCCTTACTGTTGAAATAATGTACTCTTCGAATGACTCCTGGTATTTTTCATACAGCTGCTGAGAGTAATCATGAGGTGGCTTCTGAGTGCACATATTATAGATGGTTCTGTGTACAAAATTAAGGAAAAAACAAAGCATAATAGCAAAAGGGTAACACCAAAACACTATCGCAACAATAGATGCATAAACAAAAGACCAAGGGGATACGTATAGAGCATCATGTAGTCCTCTGAGCTGAATTGTGGCTCGGGCAATCCTTCTAGGATGTTCTTCAGCTTCGTAATCCCCTTCTGCATAAAATCCCATCCTTGTTCTAAGTCAATTGTCTTGCGCTCGTTCATCGTCATCTTGAGCACTATTTTCCAGCTTTAAAAGAGAAAAAACACATACAAATCATACACACATCACCAAAATCAACAACCGCAATGCCATTTTAATGCCACTGATTATTTTAACAAGTAAACTAACAATTTCAACCTCAAAACCATCAAAAGTTACCATAAACCCTAACAAATGATAAATTTTAAAAATAAAAAAAGCCTAAGCTAGCAATTAACTTCAACTACAAAATAAAGCAAATCAAGAACTGGAACCAATACTTGTAAACGATCATTGACAGAAAATCGAAATTTGAACAAAAAGAATGGAATCAAGAAATAATCATATAAATCGATCCAGAATTGGATCACAAACGAACGAAGAAATAAAACAAAGAAGCAAATTCAATAGGCATGATTTATATGTATATACATATAATACTTTACATATAGGTAAACATATATATATAGAGAGAGAAAGAGAGACAGACCTAAGTGGTGAAGTAGAGTAGCGAGCTCAGACAGAGCATTAATGGGGGAGAAAGAGTTGAGTGAACAGTGCCTCGCGCTCTTGCTCTCTCTTTCAGTTTTTAATTGTGCTTTTTTATTTCCGCAAAAATCACTAATAGGTCTTGAATTTTTCATTTATGACAACACCGAGTTTGTACTGTATCTAGTTACTCACCTAGTCAACACTAGTGGTCCAGATACCTTTTTCGACTCTCCCTATTTTGTAAAGAGTCCCCCAATTAAGTCCCCCAACAGCTCCAACCGTTCAACTGTTTTTCAGTGAATTCCAACTGTTTTTATGTGATTGGAGTTGTCACGAACGTCATAACGATCGAAAAAAAACAAAAAACACAGTGCACAATATGCATGGTACTTATGTAGCAATTTGTGTTGGGTATTCGGCCTTGCTTTCAAGGGTAGACCAGGTGGCTGACTTCTCCACGCTGCAGGGATGAATCAAAAACTAAGATTTCGAATAACGGTCCGAATTCAAGTTGATTATATTTCGCTTCTTCTTCAGGTGAAGACGATCAAACAATTCCTAGGCACTCCCACTTTCTGCATTTTCAGGGGTATCACTTAGGGCCTGTTTAGCAATTTTTTTGCTTCTTATTTTATTTTGACCCGAAGCAAAAATAACTTTTCTACTTTGGAGTGTGTTCAATACTGTTTAGAAGCATGTTTGGTAATGTTATATTTGTTGCAAGAATTTTGGAAGTAAAACCATAAAAGTATTGAAAGTTTAAAAAATAAAATGGCTAGTTAAAAATGTATTTTAAGAGATTATTATTATTATTATTTGGGTATAATTCATTGGTACAGTGCATTTGCTACACTGTGGAAGCAACTGGAAACACCTATTTGCTGTTTTTGGTTTTGGCTTCTTTTGAGAAAACGTTTTGGTAGTATTCAAATCGCAGCAAACGTTACCAAATACGCTTCCATGTTTTGCTTCACTACAGTTCACTGTCTGAAGCAAAAAAACACGAAGCAAAAGCGGTTGCCAAGCAGGGCCTTAATAACTTAAATTTTTAAGTACAATTTACATGTAGTCCTTTATTAATGAATAATCAATTTTCCTCAATAATAGAGAAATGATAGTTTTTTTCTTCTTAAAAGTATAAAAATAATTTTCGCAAGATATTTGCAATGAGTAATGCTAATTAATACCCAAGTCGGTTGGTAATTTTTTTAAAAAAAATTATGATAATAATTTTTGCAAGATATTTGCATTGAGTAATGCTATAATACATGTAATTACTACTGAAATCGTTTGGTAAACAAAGACTCTCTGCAATAATAGATAAGATGCTCTCTCTTCTTAGAGCGTTCCTATTAATTATAGTTGCATTAATTGGTGGTAATTGTTACTAATTGGCAAATTTACCTTCTTCTTCTTTTTTTTTTTTCATTTGAAATATTTTCCTCTATTGTATATAGTTTGTAACATTAAGCCTCTGCTTCATGATCATTAAAATCTGTATATTTGGTGATATATATTATATATAGATCAGTGACAAAGTAATTAATTGGAGGGAGTTTTTTATTTTTCGGTAATTAAACTAATTGGAGAAAATTACTAATTCCGGGTTAAAAAAGGTAGGAGAATTTGAAGGGACAAAAAATATGTATTATCTAATTTTATCGTGATGTTGAATAAACAATGTATACAAAATTAAAATAGAATTATTTTTTTGGCGGCAACAAGCAATAAAAAAGTACTACAGTACTATGAAGTTCCCCAGTTGATAATATTAGATTTTTTATTTTTTTTGCAATAAACATATTTATACATTCGTTGACTTGAACTTTTAACTTATATTTTGAAAGGTGTAAAAGTATCACTAAATTACAAACTTTACTTAAATTATTTTTTTTTTAAAAACGAGATTCAAGCATTGATTTAATAAATATAATGTGACAAGTATTTTTTAATTGATCATTTGGTGCTATTATATCTATTTTTATTCACATCACTCAATTAGAGTAGAGGGCCAAACTTTTAGTTGAAGTGAATTAGAACAATTGTAAGGTATTTATTAGAAATAAATTTAATAAAATGCAAGATATAATTAATCGACAAAAAGACTTATTCAAATTTTTTCTTTTCGTTTTTTTATTGTTCCAAGTATAAGTCCTACAGATGACTTTTTTAAGGGAATCATTGAAGCTTATTTAACGAGTCAACGAATTTCAAAGACTTCTACGGCAGTTTGTCTTAGTCAAACGTGGATACTCAATCTTCTATGGTTGAAAAAGAAATAAAAGACTAATAATTACCGACTTTTCAAATAACTAACTTCCAAAAGCCATAGACGTTTCCAACTGAGGAGGGTTTGAACTTGATTCACTATTTGCAATTTCTAAATCAGTCCATTTATTTCAGTTAAAAATGTTAGCACCAAATATTGTCTCCTTACGTTAGGTTGTACAGAATTATCTTCATAGCTCTTTTAAGATAAATTATAACCACAATTTTTAAGATTTGACCTAATTACAAATAAATCTGAGTTTCATTATTTTTTTGCAAAAAAGACCCCATTGCTAGTGCGTTGCCTTTTTGGTCAGTTTTAAATAAAGGCCGGATACCGTTAGGTCACTAACCCGTTGGTCTAATAGAATTGATTGTCTCGTACACTTGTCTAACTATCTTCCTCGTTGGAGAGAGAAAGGAGCATCATACACACATGCCTCTATTGAGGTTGAACTCTTGACCTTCCTTTGGAAAGTAAAGGTCTGATACCACTAAGTCATTGGCCCGTTGATCCAACATAGTTGATTATCTCGTGCTTTTGCCTAGCTATCTTCCTCGTTGAACAGAGGAAGTTGCAATTGCTTGAAATAATGTTAAAACTGTCACCCATTTTATTCATATAATGAAAATGATAATAATTTGGAGTCCAAAAGTCATTTCTATGAGTGGGCTCACATCATTACTATATCCCTGACATCATAATAACATCAGTCTCTACCCATATAAAATTAATCAAATTTGTCATTAATATATATATATATATTTTTTGACAGGCCCGAAGGGTCCCACCCTAAAGGCACCAAACTGGAAATATTACAGCTGGCCCCACAACTACAATACCAGATTAATAAAAGGTAATAAAGGAGGTGGCAAGGCTCGAACCTGGGCGGATTGGGTGCCCAGGCCAACACTCTACCATCTCATCCAATCCCCCGGGGGGGCTATATATATATATATATATTGTCGTCTGTAAATAACCAAAAGTCGTTCTAAATTTAGTATGATAGTATGCTCTGTTATGTTCTTCCCTGCTAAATTAACCAAAGCTGATCAACCATCTAGAAGACGAAAACGTGTGTTTGATGTTTCATCCTATTGCCTCCAGCAGAATTTGGACATCAAGTAATAAATCTTTTCATCATTTTTAGGGTTACTAGTAACAGTCACACCCAGTCAACAACTCACCCTCAAGTCCACAATCACTTCAAAAGTTCAATAACCATTTGTCATAATAGAAAGCTTGAAAGCATTTATATGGATAAAAGAAAAGAAAATGATAAAAAATTATAGGGACAAGAAGTTTGGGTTTGATTCTATAATCCCAGTATTCGATTATATAAATAACCCCTCCAACATCAACAAAATTGAAAATATAATAGCTATATATATACGCCACACAACTACAACTCCAGCTTTGCAAATGCAAAGCGCAACTCATGTTCTACAACCTGTCAACGGAATAAAATTCACAAATGAGAGAGTATATAGTTTCCAATTGTAAAGCACAACATTTAGTTAAATCAGAAATAAAAGAAAGTGCACCCATATTATTTCTTTTAAGCCAGAATAATTGTTGAGAAAGCAAATATAGGATCAAATATGTGACACTTAAATAGGAAAAACTATCCTTAACAGGCCAGTCTGTGTGAATAGAAATAAGAGTACAACTCCATGCGTCCGGTATTCTATAACATAATCTCGAGCATTAGTTTAAACAGTTTTCTCAAAATCTCGAGCATTAGTTTAAACTTTAGCTAACAACACAAACATAAAATGCATCCATCAAGATTTATGAACAAAGAGTTGCAATTGAATAGAGAGAGTACATAAAACTAGGATCACATATACAAAAAGGTCCATCGTGGTCAACACTATTGTGTTAAGACAAAAATATAGAAACAGCTTTATTTGAAAGTTTATACAAAAGGTCGTTCTCCAGTTTTGTTCTTGTGAATGCAGGGTGCTGGATATACGGATACGTGAAGTTGTGTAATGGTTGAGAATCAGAATTATTAGATTATTATTCCAAAATGAGTTGTGATATCCTTCAAGGTAAATTTTCAACTTGGAAATGATTCCCAATGTTATGAATAGAATAAATAGTGATTTTATTCAAATTTGTTTTCAGGAAAATAGAATTTCCTAGCTAGTAATGTTTGAAAAAGGTTTTGCAGCCACAAATACGTACCTCCAATAACTTCTGCTCGCTTCTTTGATGTAAGTAACTTGAAACTCTCTCTCTTTCCTGTTTCAAGCATTCATCCACCTGAATGTCCAAGGAAAAACATTCATCCACTAGGGCTTGATCAATCTGCTCTCCCTCACGTTCCCGATTAATCTGAAATATCAAATTTCAATTACTGTTATTCAGGCGCATAGAGAGTGTCAAGAAGAGTACTTGTGGAATGTTTAGACAACAGTCACAACATATCGAAATCAAAAGGCTTAATTTTGATTGATAATCAAAAAAAAAATCAACTAATGATTTTCTACTTCATCACAAAGCCATCACATATCTCCAAAATCATTGCAACAACAAAGATACACAAAAGTTCATCCCACTCGGGTAATCAATCAGAAGACATACAGAGAAAGGAAAACATCCATATGGTCTCTAGCAACTTTAAGAAGCATCTTGTTCCCAATAGAAGCAAATTTGCTTGTATGGCATAGTTGCGGCGCGTGAAAAGTGAGAACGCTTTTGAGAAGAGATGAGTGAATTTTCAATCCCAATAGACTTTACCTAAAATTATTAGTCACTAGAGAGAGGGTTTGAAGCAGAGCTCCTAAAATTGGAGCACAATGGATGAAGGACATACGAGCATCATGTACAGTGCAGTGCGACTGAAATTTCCTATCAT